GAAATTATCATTGAGTTTCTGTGGGTATGGATCGTATTTGCTCTTTACACTAACCTTGGTATTTGTTCAGTTTTCTGTTTTTTCCTGTTCCACCAGAGCGTCTACAAATGTGACTTCCTAAATCTTCAAATTCAGCAACCTCTCCAGCTGGCACAAGATGCTATAGATGCCTTCCTTAGGCAACTGAAAAATCCCATTGATTCTCTGCCAGGAGAACTGTTCCACGTTGTCGTTTTCTCACTCCTCCTTTCTTACTTTCCATCACCCTATCAACGATGGATATGCTGCAAGAAGGCACACGAACTTCTCGTATTGAATGGATTACTGCTTGTAATAACTCCTGATTCATCTCACCAGAATCGCCGGGCTATGATGATGAAAAGCTGGAAAATTGCCATAGAGTCCTTGGGTTTTAAACGCTTCAAGTATTCCAAGTTTTCTCACATGCACCTGATGGCATTTAGGAAAACTTCCCTGCAAACAACAAGTGACTTAGTTAGCAGGAACTACCCAGGAATGCTGTATATCCCACAGGATTTCAACAGCATAGAGGAGGAGGAGTATTCCAACACTTCCTGCTATGTTCGATCAGACACAGAAGATGAACAGCTAGCTTACGGTTTTATGGAGCTACCTGATGCTCCTTACGACTCGGACTCTGGAGAAAGCCAGTCTAGTTCAATTCCTTTCTATGAGCTAGAAGATCCTATATTGCTTCTAAGTTAATGTATTTGTTGAAAGGCCCTTTCAGTCAAACCTCTTGCTTAACTAATTTTGCTATACTAACATGGGCTCAACACACAAAAATGGTTTGCATAAAGAAAATGCAAAGGTTTACAGAGTTTGCTATTTTTTTCTACTTTTGAATTTTAAGATTTATTCTTGTATGAAGGTGAAAAAATACAAGTTTTATGCAAATGACTCATGTCATAGCATAAATTGCTGTTACTTTCTTTAGATTTGTATCACTAATTTTTTTTTCCAGAAAGGTACCATTCTTTTCTTTAGTGCTGTGAAGTGTGAATTCTATTTAATTTGCTAAATGTTGTTTCAATATTTTAACTCAATGTGGTTGAGCTTAAGGCACTGGAGTTGGTGGGCTTCTGAGAAGTATATGTAGGAAGAAATAATTTGCACTTTAATTAAATGTGCAGATAGGTTAAGACACTTGGTTATACACGTCCCTTCTTAATTATGGAACAAAACTTTCTTCAAAAATTTGTTTCACTCTGGTTAAGCCTGGGCTGGAGAAACTATAGTACTTGCACATTTGATTTTACGTTTATTGCAGCCCTCTTGAGATAACACCAAATCAAGATCAACACCAAAACACTGGAATATATTCATTCATAGTTACACACACTGTGTAATTTCATTGCATAAATAGTTGTTAGACATGAGATTGATGAAGAGGTTATCCCCCCCAGAGGAGTATGGTACGTCTAGACAATTATGTTTCACTTCAAAGCTGGAACATGGTTTTGAAATTTTATGAGTGTACAAGCACTAACATATATCAGTATTTCCCCAGTGATGGTGTTCTGTATTCTCTTCAAACTGTGTTTTTTGGGGACAGGGTGGGTTTTGTCATGTTTTAAAGTAAATTATTTATGCATTTTAAAAAGAAACAACTTTAATTGTCCTTATTTGTAGACTCCGAAGTTATACGGTAACTACACACCCATTTTGTAAAAAGGAACATAATTATACAAGTTTTTCAAGGATACACATATTTGCACAAAGACATGTATTCAGACCACACAAGTGAAGTTAAGATACACTATTCGTTGCTTATTTGGACCCAAAAATCTTCTGCTTAGTTGAATAAAAGCTCCATAGCTGTCTGAAAACCGGTCTGCACTGCAAAGAAATGGAACAGAAGTGGTTTACATCTGTGATGTTTTTTAATTTGTGTAATAAATTTCTGAGTTTTTGCAGGAAAAAACAATTCAGTGGTAAAACCAGAGGATTCAATATTGGTTTTGCTAAGATTTCCCTCGATTTAAAAATGATGGCCAGAATTTTCGGATTTGAATGTTAGGCTGTTAGATCTATATGTAAGTGCCTAATAATAAATGATTTCAACTAGGTGCTACATCATGGTTTTAAGACTGACTTCGGCAACATGGTAGAAAATACTAATATATGGTTTCACAGGTGGTTGTGATGAAATACACCTTACACCATATTAACCTACCATGTTGTACCAGATAAACTGAAGTTGTGGTGTGGATTTTGCAATGGTTGCTACAAAAATTAAACTTACTGCTTCCATCGAAGTTTTGCACTGAAACTGTCACAGTTTGACCTACCTGTTTTACTTTTGTACTGTTTCATACAAAGAGTCATCCCGCATTGGTCCTGCTTACACTGAAACATGAACTGGACTCCAATGCTTTATTCTTTAATGTAAGCTTTTTGTGTCTCTCTTCTTAAATTTAAAGCATCCCCTAATACCTGAATCAAACTGGTTATATACAAACAAAAAATTATATTCTAATGTGTTATAAAAAAAGTTGACATAGAAGTATCATAGTTTACTTTTTAAAATGTTTTTTACAGAGAATACTTCTCTAATGAAATAAACAATGGCTTCAAAGTCAGCTGTAAGTCAGTATTTGCATCTAATGCTTTACCACTTCACTTTCACTAAAATGTTCATCAGTCAAAGCCTTTCTTCTTCCCAGTTAACCACTGACTCCAGCAGTGCTCATGTTAAAGGTAAAATATTGGTGCTATAAATTCAGCTGTTTATGGAAACTTAATCTGTGCATAATTCAAAGTGTACCTAATGTTTTAACTGATACTCCTTTTAAAAAAAAAAAAAGTTATATACCAGCTAATATATATGTTGGCATTGGTTACTATAGATTGGTTTGGGATTCATATAAAAAAGCGATTCAGACCAATATTTATCCCCTCAAAATAGTTTAAAATATTAACATTTAGAATTTAAGCCTTTTTGGCAGGTTGGTGACACCATTGTATTTGTGGTTTAGGGACCTGAGATTCATAACGGCTTGGTTTTCTTGCTGCTCATTCTAAATACCTGAAGTGTTTTTTTGTTGTTTTTTGTGATGGAGAAGGAAAGTGGGATTTACATAAATACTTATACCTCCCTGAATAACAGAATGGTGATTTCAGGAGCTGTTGAATATTTGGCTCTGTTGCAAGAACAGCGTTTCTAGGTTATGAAATATTTGAAGATTGTGACTGCGGAAGAGATCTGTCATTCTTAAGATACTGGAGAGGAAAAGGAAAAAAATGTGTATTTGTATTTCTTTTGTCTTTATGTCACTACTTTTTGTGAACAAAGCACATTTATTAAAAAAAAAACAAACTGAAAATCTTTTTAAAAATTGTTTCTTTGGGATGGAGATGATGTCCTTTCTTCCTGTGCAGTCGGTTTATGCTGAAAACTAGTGAAATCAATGCATAGTTATTTTCCGTATTGTCAAGAAAATAGTTGTTGGGTTATTTTATAAACAACTGAATTATAGTAAAGATGTTAAATTTGGTGCTTCAGTTTTAGCTTCTACATCTCAGTTGGGGTCTTTGCTTTACAGAAGCGTTTTGGAGTTTCTCCAGTTGATGCTGTATCGTGTTTCTTTGCCTGCCCGCTCTAGGATGCGACCACTTTCTAAGGCAGTTCCTCTCTTCTCTCTCTAGATGTTCTTAATTCTTCCTTTTATCTCCTTGAAATATCTTTGCAGCACCCATTGTATGTTGGCCCTTTGAGGTCATTGCTGTATTTTTCTACCTGGTAATTCTGAGTACTGGAGGTGTTGGGAAAGGATAGCAATGGGAAAAAAACTCAAAAAACCTGAAAATGCAGGGCTCCTACTCAGATCCAGATTCTAAGAAAATGAGACTTCAGCAGAACTGAAGCGTGTCCCTAGCACTGCAGAGCCTAGCTGGTACATTCTGGGCTCTTCCTTGACAGTGAAGATCAGAAAACGTGATGTCACAGCTGTCCTGTATTGCGTCCTGCAGAATCTTGCTGTCCCTTTCTGCTTCAAGGAGACTTGCTGGCTTGCCTTTAAAAATGTGATCTTTCGAAGTCTCTTTAATCGTGCCTCCATGACCCAGCGGCATATCTTTTTTTGATTCCTTGCAATTGGGATATGTATATATTCAGGTTTTCTGCTCCCATTTCCTTGTTTCTTCATTTTTCCTCAGTTCATTGTTTTTGTACCTATAGAACAGGAAGACTTTATTTTTTTTTTTTTAAAGAAGGGTTGCATTTCCCAGACTTGCACAGAAATTTGGTTGGGTTTTTTTACTTTTAAAATAAAATCTTCTCCAAGAAGCTGAACAAATAGTTGCTTGAAGAGTATTCCTAAATCACAATTGGACAGGTATAGCCCCATGGATGACACTTGGTTGGTGCTGGTAACGCGCCTGAAGCAGGTGACGTTTACTAAGCAACTGACATTTCTACTGTTCTGCTTGTTAAAGGAAAACCTTTTAGTAGTGTGATATTTGGTTTTTCGGTGGTATTTTTGTTTTGTTTGGGGTTTTTTTACCCCATGTAACTTTTAGGCTTGTTGGCCCAGTTTTATTTAAAATTAGAAGAGGGGCAAGGGTTTTAGAGATGACCAAGGCTCTTGTGAATCAGCTGTCTGAGTAACTGAGGGAGGAATGACAGACTGTCAAAGTTCAGCTGTCTGGGTGTCCAGCTGCTGCCAATGAGCGCCAGTGATCACTGACTGAAGGGATGCAGGGGAGGGCTGTGGTGAGGGGATTACAGAACCCAGGAGGTAATCAGCAGCAGGCCAGCCCTCACAGTTCCAAAAGCCCCCGCGCAGCAGCTGCCCCAACTTGCTCCAAGTCCAGCCGCCCTTGTTTTGCCCAAGCAGCAGAGCTGTTGAGATCCAGAAGCTTCCCGCTCTTGCCCACCTGCCTGCAAGCACCAAGTCCAACCACGCGTTTCTAGCACGAAGCGGCGCGAAGCCCTGATGGTCAGGGCACTCTGCGTTCCAATCTGGGACGCCAGCGTGGTGAAAGCCGTTGCTGGGGAAGCACCAGTCCCCCCGCGACCCGAGTCCTCTCCCCGAGGGTGGCTCCGGCCTGCAAGCGATGGGAAGGGCGGCAGCGGGGTCATGCCGGCACAGCCTTCCCTCTTCTCTGCCCTAGAAGACCAGCTGGCCGTCCTCATAGGCTTGGACTGTTTTTTTCCCTTCTCCCAGCCTATTAACCTTGCATTTTTTTGCGCGTGGAGGGGAGAACGCGTGGTCACTCGTGCCTGTCACCCAGACGTTACTGAATTCGGCACACACAGTGTTTGTTAAGAAACCCCTGCTTTCTGCTGAGCGCAGGCGCCTGGCCTGGCCTCCGCGGCAAGCCGGGCCCCGGCCCTCG